TTACCCCCGGATACCTTTTGTTTTAATGAGTTCTCAGCAAAACTCACGCCACCCACTTAATCCGACTGTAACATTATCGTCATCCAGTTCAATTCGTCCACAAGGTGCGTTTAGTTTCAGGGTGTGTGGAAGTCATTTTCTGCCATCTGACTGTAAAGCTTCACCTCTGCTTTCAACATCAGCTACTGTGTTTTATGGGATGGCTCCAGCAGATGTGTGTGTCAGGCCTTCACCCGTCCTCCCTCCGCTGTGCTGCACCTCTCACTCACTCAGAGTCTAAACCTTTCACCCATTCTCATCCATTTATTTTCTCTGTTGCTCTCTTCAGAGGAGAAGTCCTTCGTGGCGCTGGACCACAGTGGGATTCTGGCCACGGAGTTCGTCAGCCTTTTGGAGGAGACGGAGTTCACCATCCTCATCGACGGCTACCCGGCCCCCAAAGTGTCTTGGCTGAAAGACGGCAGAGACATGTCGCAGAGCTACTACGTCCTTGCCAAGACGAGCCACCTGGAGGGGAATCGGTGAGAATGAAGCTTGTGATTCGTTAATGTGTCGATGGATGAGGCTTTCACAGTTTCAGTTCTGACAGCGATTAAGACGTTTAAAGGAATATTTTTGGGAAATTATATCTGGTTTGTTTGCCGAGTTTGATGAGATGATACTGATCTTTGTACGATAAATGTGAAGCTGCAGCCGGGAGATTTTTAATGCAGCAACAAATTAGTCAAAACATAAACAGGAAAATAACATTTGGTGTATAATGTGTAAAGTATATAAACATAGAGTTGAATTAAATAGATCTAATTCTAAGTAATAAAGGATTTAAACTAATAACATCAGTGAGCTGGTAGATTTTTAGTCACAGAGTCTGGCTAGCTGTTTCCCCCTGTTTCCAGTCTTTAAGCTAAGCTAAGCTAACCGCCGTCATATTTACCGTCCCTGTGTGGAAGCATCAGGAGATAAAATGTATTTATAATAGATATTATTATTATTTGTCTCCCAGGTATCAAAGCGTTCTGACATTACGACAGCCTCTGGGAAAAGACGACGGGAACTACACCATCACAGCCCTCAGCGGGTCTCGCTCCGCTCAGTTCTCCTTCAGCCTCAGAGTGAAAGGTAAGACAAGGACAGATGGACGGACAGACAGACAGAAGGGGGAGGGATGGATAGACAAGAAGATAGATGGAGAGACAGACAGACGGACTGATAGATATATAGTCAGACAGGTAGATGGATGAATAGATGGCTCAAATATTCACATGAATAAAAACAAAGCAACGTGATATTATTTTATTTTATTCTAAGGTGGTCCTTGAAAATGTTTTCCCGATCACACATGTGGCTCAGCAGATAGAGAACCCCAGAGGTCGAGGATTTAGTGATGACTGAGTTCTGCACACGTCTCTTCTTTCAGCCCCCACCGCTCTGATGTTCCCTCCGTCCTCCGCCCCCGTGCTGCTGCCTCAGGCGGAGGAGCTGGTGGTGCCCCTCCACACCCCCTTCACCTTGACCTGTCGGGGAGAGGCCAAACTCGCCTGGAGGACGCCGATCGACGTGCTCGAGCAAGCGCGGGAGGACAACAGCGGCCTGTTCGTCACCACCGTCACAGTGGACAAAGCCACGGCGATGCACACTGGCTACTACACCTGCTTCTACAGCCGCAACACCACAGAGGACACGGAGGACAGCAGCATCTACATCTATGTGCCAGGTACACAGCAGCCTGGAGCTTTTGTCTATTTGTTTTCTATTCAATGCTTGGTATCATCTGGTCTGAGAAACTTCTTTTACTCCAGATCCAGATGTTCCCTTTGTGCCGTCGCTGGTGCCCTTTGGCAACCACGTCCTGTCCGACCACGAGGACATGGAGATCCAGTGCCGCGTGTCCAATCCCAGTGCTAACGTGACTCTGGTCAACGTGGACACCCAGCAGCCCGTTAGCAGCGTTTACGACAGCAAGAGGGGCGCTTTGGGAGTGTTCACCGCTGGAACCTACGTCTGCAAGGCTCTCATAAACGGGGAGGAACACTACAGCGGGGAATACATCGTCCACGGCTGGGCAGGTGCTTCACCTTTCAGATATCTAACCAGCTCCAGCTTTCTTTCTTTTATTTCCCCCACACATGTTGCTAATGTTAATTGTTGCATCTCAGGTGGCGCCGCTCTGCACGTTGAGCTGACGGCCAAGCGGACCGCTCTACTGGTGGGAGACGCCATCACCATCACCTGTCTGGCTCGGGGATCTGAGATCCTGGAGGACCACTGGAAATACCCCGGAAAACTGGTGAGGACACAAGTCGTCCTATGCAGCACAAAAAAAAGATCTAGAATGAGTGCGTTTGGGTTCAGTCTCCCAAAAGTCCTGTTGCTGAAACTCAAATAATGTTGTTTTCATTGACAATTATTTTTTTTAAGTCATTTGGTGGCAGAAAAGTATGAAAAACGTCTTTCAGTGTTTCCCAAATCTCAAGATGACATCCTCAAATGTCTTGTTTTGTCCACAACGCAAAGACATTCAGAGCGAGGAAACCAACCAATCGATCAAAAGCTCAACGTTCCTGATGTTCCTTTTTGTATGACAGGCTAATCGTGGAATCAAAACAGTGCAGGAGAACAAGAGGGACCAGGAGATCCGTTACACCCTGACGATCCCGCAGGCCTCAGCCAAAGACAGCGGCATCTACTCGTGCTCCATCACCGATATCATCAGCAACGAGAGCCAGACGAAGGAGCTGGCTATTAGAGTTTTTGGTACGACAACTGTGTTTTATTTACTTCGTGTTGTTTCATAAAATTCTCTCTGAATGAGCGCTGATTGTCCGTCGGCCTCTTTCCTAACAGCGAGTGAGTTCATGTCCGTCTGGCCGGAGTTCAGAGAATATGAATCGGCGGAGCTGGACGAGGTCCGGGAGTTCAGGGCCGAAATCAGCTCCTTCCCCAGCGCTCACGTCACCTGGCTCAAAGACGGCATCCCGCTCAGCGACGTGACGGCGGAGATCTCCACCAGCCTCCAGCAGCTCAGCGAGACCAGGTGAGCCTCCCGCTCGAGGTCGACTAATGACGAGTTCCCGCACGTCAAACAGGCCTCTCTTTAGGACTCGGTGCGACCGTGAACCTCCACAACTGTTGTGTTTAAATTGCAGTCTCTGGTTTGTGTCGCTCTGTTTAGCTACACGGGTGTTCTCACCCTGATCCGGGCCAAGGAGGAGGACAGCGGGAACTACACCATGCGGGTGGAGAACGGAGACCAAAGACGAGACGTCCGATTGATCCTGGAGGTGAAAGGTCAGAATGCCTCTTTATGTCCTCAGTTACAGTCTTTTCCTCACATGTTAGTCTGAAGTTTCCTCCTCTGAACTTATGCATTGTATTCTATCTAAGTATTTTATTTCCGTCTTATTTTCACTGCTGCAGTTCTTTTAAAAATGTTTTAAAATGTGCCTGCTGTAAATATGGGTACTGATGTTTAAGTTTTTAGACAAACTGGTGATTTTTTTGTGGGTCGGTTTTCTGGCGGTACTCGACAAAGATAAGACCTGCAGTGAGGTTAGGAGGCGAGGGAAGACATTCTGATTGGCTGACTGAGGAGGAGTGACGTAGAGACGGTGTCTCTGGTAGAGACCTGTCAATCACTGTGTAGCCCCGCCCTAAAG